CGATGTCTACCAGCAGCTTCAGGGCTAGTGATGTTTCAAGTGGTAAGATTATGAGCTTTAATAAGTAAAATTATCCCAGCTCCAATGACAGACAACAAATATTACATTTATAGTGTTACAACTAAAACCGTTTTTGACGCCGCCACCACCGCAGTTTGTCCTTCATGAGCCTTCGTAGACAAGATGTCGGCTGCTTGTAGTGGGGACCATGGAGATATAAACAGCTTTTTATAAGGTAAAAATAATAAAACAAGGTCTTTGTCTGCAATGATTAGACATGTTGTTTATTATTGTCATTAGTGATAATTTCAGTTTCGGCTAAAAGAATTGACAAAATCCTACACACTGTGCCTTTAATCCTCGTTTCGATGTGATGGGTCACATATTTTAGATGAAGTTAGCACAATATTAACTTCAAAGCAAGTTTGCAAGAAGTTAATTATTGGATGTCTGTGCTTGTGATTCAAATAAATGAGTTGTAAATAGCGAGGCAGTCTCTGTAAGACAGATTGGATTTTGTTGCTGTCGGGCAAAATGCAACCAAAAATTGTCTTTCCTTTCAAACCTATTACCTCTGTAATCCATCAAAAACAGAGATACAAGGTTTTCATGAAACTTTTTTTTTTTATTCACCAAATCAAATGTTTCCAGCTGCATATTAAATTTTGCGTTGACATGACGGCTCCTGGATCAAATGAGGTAACAGAAGTCCACCTCTACCTCACAGAACCTGCACACGGTCAGCTTCACTAAACCAGGATACATGGAGCTGGGCGGCTTCTCACTTGGAGTGGACACAGAGATCAGCTTGTCTTTCAGCACTCTGCAGGACACCGGGACCATCCTCCTGGCAGTGGGCGGAGCTTCACCAATCAACCAAGAGGTCAAAAGATGCTTTACAAAATGTATTTTTCTGTCTGTATGAGAACTGTACTCTATTGTTACAGTGATTCTAACATTCTAAAATCCACTTTTGTAGCTGTTGGATACATTTTGTTGTGTACTTGGAGTTGGAGTGCAGAAAAGTAGAATTTAGTCTCTCCTGGTGCTGCATAGATATCATAATATTCTGTTTGGATCTTATTTTTCAACCAGTTTTGCATCTATTCTAATATTTTTTAAATGTTTCCCTTACAGCCTCGCAAGTCAAACACTAAGAGGAGACGGAGACAGTCAGGAGAGGTGGGTTCATACTAATGCATCTAAATATTGTTTGAATGATGGAAGTGTCTCTTATTTAGATTTGCATTTGTTGGCACTTAAACTAATTTTACTGTCTCATATAAAATACATTCTTAGTACTGCACGTTGCAAAACCATTGTTTTAATAAATGGTCAACGTAATGAGCACCATGTCATCTTATACATGCATTGTTTCCACTTTCATGTGCGTGAGCATTTTTCAGCACAAAGTGCATTTGTCTGAGGATGTCGCTCACATGAATGCAAAACAGACAAGTGTGTGTCTGTGCTTATGAGGACAAAAGGTTACCTCCAGCTTATCCATCATCTCTGGTTGTTGGGCGCATAAATCTATTTTTACTAACTACGCTGGCAGGCGGGGCGTGTGTGTGTGGAGAAAGGTTAAGCGAGGTTAAAAACACCATCAACTCAAGTTGGCCCTGACTAATGGCTGGTTTGGAGAGGGACGGACCGAGAGGACGACACAGGGAAAAGGACAAATCTAGGAGAAATCCAGGTGGGCGATTTAGAGGGGAAAGAAACATTACTGAAAAACAGAATTCCACTGGAGGAGGAGGAGGAGGAGGAAAGACCGGAGTTGTTGTAAGCAAACAGAAATTAGGCAATGGGCAAAGAGAAAGAATAAAAAAAGCTGAACGAACAAGACAAGTTAAAGTGAAAAGCAGTGAATTAAGAGGCTGAGGGAAAAATAAACCCAAAGTAGACATAAAGATAAAAGATAAACAAAAAAAGCTTGATTATTTACATACGAATGAATAAAAGATGCATTTATGAATATTACATATTTACCAGGACGTGTTTGGTGTCAAAAATATGATCATCAAAGTGGAGAAATATACAGCCGATTCTTACACCTTTAAAACAACAGTTCTGCTTAAATTCTCATTAAAGTAGGATATTTAGACTCTGCTAAACTCAGAGCTATAGGGCCACGAGTGTAAACTAAAATGTTTAAAAAAATGAATTTAACTCACTTTCTGCATGTAAAATCCTAATTAAAAAATTTCCACTAATGTCTTTGTTACTTAGCTACATTTTGCTAAATGTTAAATTTAAATGTTAAAAAATAAATTCTAAACCTAAATTTAAAAGTTAAATGTTGAAGTTTACGTTTAAGTATTTCTGAACGACATGCAGCCTTTGTTGATGGTGCTTGGATCTTGTTGTGACATCATCATCCTGAGACAATAACAGTTGCTACCACTGCTAATACTGCTAACGTTCCCTTACAAGACATCAAACCTGCAGTTACAGCTGGTGTCCAAGCTGCACTTTAAACTCACCACACCACAGGTGCCGTTTATACTGTTTTCAATGAACACATTTTGAATTAAAACTTTAAATACCATCGTTAGAAGCATTGACATGGACACAGGATCCTGGTAATGCTAACACTAGCCGATGCTATCGCTTCTTACGATGGAATTTAAAATCTAAATTCAGAATGTGTTTCTTGTAGTGAAACGATATGAATGTACCTGCGGACACCAGCCGCTACTGCAAGTTTGATGTCTTGTCGAGAAGTGTTAGCCATGTTAGCGGTGTTAGCCGTGTTAGCGGTTGCTATTGTCTCAGGATGATGACGCCCTACCATGAGCCAAAACACCTAAATATAAACATTAAACTTTTATATTTACGTTTAGGATTTAATATTTAGATATGTTATTTATGTTTAACATTTATTAAAAATTAGCAAAATGTAAGAAGGATGAGCTCAAAAACATTTTTTATGTTGTCTTTTACAATCAATCAATGAGTTTGGGGGTCTTTGGGCATGAATCATTAGTTCAACCACATAAAATTAGATTTTCAGTATCAAGGTAACAGATCACAATTTGTTCACTACAGTGGATGCGGTCATAGATATTTTAAATGTAAAGTGATTTTTCTTGTTTCCATCCTGCATTATATTTTATTTTCTACATATTTAGCTTAAATTCTACCACAGAGGCCTCCGTGTTCCTGCATGTGTCGTTCCTTCACTGTATTTAATTTAACCGTATCTGAGAAATATTATTTTTGTCTGCATGTTTGACATGTGTCGGTCCGTCTGCGTGTGTGCACCCCTTTGTATCAGTGTGTGAGTGTGAGACGGCGCAGTGAGAGCCATGTTGTAGCTACATCTCAGTTCAATTTGTCCCCGACCTCAAATTGAAATTCCATTTTCAGGTGGTAAATTGTCTCCCACTTCGCCCTCTGGCACACAGTGAATTAAAATTCAAATTAGCCTGACCCCGCACCACTGCTCTCTAACACCTCTGTGACTGTCTCACTCTTTCTCCCTCCGACCAATCGGCTCGCTGCTCTGCTCTCTGCCCTCTCATCTCTCCCTCCTATTATCTCCTCCTCTGTTCCTCTCATCTCTTATCCTTTCATCCTCACACTTCACTCCTTTTCTCCTCGTTTTATTTCCCCAGTTTCTCTGGGTCTCCTCCTGCTCACCTCCAATTTCCCATTTTCTCTTTCAAGCCAGTGTTTTACCCCCAGTTTTTACCTTTAACTGCTTGTTTTTTGTCTTTTCACCACATTTTTCTTTCTTTTTTGGCTACAGCAACATTAATGTGTAAATTCCTCCAAAGAGGACAGCATTGTGTTGATCTCTGTTTGTGAAAATGACACAGATGGCAGCTACTAATAAACACTAATGAACACTCACTTGAGTTGGTACTATTTCACACCATTTACTGTCTTTGTTTTGAATTTGGGACAGCAGCTTGGGTTTAAAACAAATAACTGGCCAGTGACAAATTAAATTTTGCTACTCCTAATTTTTCATAAGCACTGAAGAGCTACTTTACATGAACTAATGAGGTACCGGTTGGAGACCCCTATGTTAAATGTTGTTTCTATAAAACAATCTTAATATTTCTTATTTTTCATGATAGGGATGTAAATTTAATTTGAAATTGACTTACGTAACTGACTCCTGTATGCCTTTGCCTTCAACGTTTTGTGTGTTTTTACAAGAAGTGTTAAAGGTTGTTATATAAATTACTGGGTTATGGCTGTTTGCAGTGGTGGGCACCAGCCCGCTAAAGCACAAATTTGCCAATTGCGAACCTAAATATTTCGTTTGCACTTTAGCGGTCTTACTAATTTTTATAATTCATAAGCGGATTTGTGCTTTCTATAATTAAAATGCAGTGCCATTAATAACTAATTATCTACCAGTCGTCATTATCTTGAACAGCGGATGGTATGACTGTCAATGAATCACAACACGTGATCTATCCAACAGCACCCCTCTCAGATAAACACATTTATTGTGAAGGTATACATCCTGCTGACTGTTGCTTTCGGTCACGGTTCTGATTTCCCACAATGCTTTGTGTCTGCTTACATAGCAGGAAGGCAATAGCAAAAACAGTTAATGTTTGTAATCCATACTAAAATTTTGTATGTATTGATTTATTTTACTTTACAATCGGAGCTCCTTTTTTTAAAAAAAAAGTTTAAACGCTGGAGCTCAATACTTGGCGTAACTGGTCGAAGCAACGGGGTTAGCAACGCAGAAATTATTTAAAGATGTAATGCTGATTAAGACTTACATCTAGTGGTCAACTGGAGCAACTACATGGAAAACTTTAAAATCCAAGCTCTTATTATGAAGGGAAGATGGTTTCCTGTACTCTAAAGGGCTCGACACACGGGAGGCGACGTCGCTCGCTCTCCATTCATTTCCTATGGAGCCTGTGCGGTGAGGCGACAATCGCTTGCCCTCCTCCAGCTAAACGACCGGCGAAAATAGTGCATGTGAAATTTGATGCTCATAGACGTGCACACGCAAGCTTGCGACGCGACATTTGAAAGTTGAAAAATGTTTAACTTTTGTCGCTTAGCTTACAACCAATCAGTGAGGGTTTTATTGACTGACCAATGAGAGGAGAGTATGCTACACACTGCAGTTAGCTAACACTTTCACCAAGTGATTACTAAAAAGCTTTGTGGGAATTTAKTGGCACCAGGTTGAAGTTTATGGTAAGTTTTTCCTCATAAAACTGTATCTTGATGTGTGTTTGTTTTTCGATATCATTAGCATCGCAAGATTTGTTTAGTTTACACGTTCGTAATGCACACCTGCCTTCAGAGTCAAGAACCAATCAAATTTCGTGAAGACAAGCGACCTGAGAGCGCGATTCGCAACGCTGCGATCGCTATCGTGTCCCGTGTGTCGGGTTTCACCCTGGCTGCGATGACAGCCGTTAATCGCTGTAGTTTGTCGCTCCCCTTGTGTCGAGCCCTTAACTCTGTGCTTTTGTTTCTCGTCACAAATTAAATCCGTCATGTACAAAAAAAAAGTCGTGTATTCAGAATGCATCGCTTCAGTTTTCCAATAAATTGTTTTAAAATTACTTTATTGATGCTTCTTTAATGAAAAATCTGCAACAAACAAAAGAAAAAGACAAAGAATCAGCCGAACTAGCAATCCTCAACAACTTTTTAAAAAAGCAAACGAACTAGCAATCCTCAACAACTTTTTAATTTTTACACCAGGAGCCAAAGGTCTGTTTCAGGAAATCGTATCCCCAGCTATCGGCGGTTGTAGAATTAAGTTGTAAATAGGTTTCATGCGCCGCTAGTTGTCAGTGTTGTACATACAGTATATTGTACATGAATTATTGCCAGTTAGTAAGTGTCAAATTGAACTTGTGCTTTAAAATTAGCTTCCACTATTTTTTTTTTATGGCATAAGCGCTTTAGAAATTGCGGAGCTAATTTTTGGATTAGCGCTGCCACTGGCTGTTTGAAACTAGTCGTCGGTTTAAATTTAGAGAAATGAGGCTGATGTTTTGTTAAGCTCTTCTAAGAGTGGTGATAATGTTCTCCTGTTAATAAAGTTCACCTCCCACCTCCTGCAGCCCTACCTGTCAGTAATGCTGAACAAAGGAACCCTGGAGGTGCTGATGTTTACCGGGAGCCACAGTCCACGTCGGGTCATCAGACGACCCGAGCCAGGCGTACTAAACGACGGCAGAGAACATTTACTGCGCATCGAGCGGCTGCCGGGCAGGTCTGTGCATGTTCAGCTGTTTTTTCATCTCATGTAGCAAATGTTTGATCTCATAACTGCTGCTTCCTTTCTTCTTGTCCTCTAGATTCTTTACAGTTCAGGTTGACGAGGAGCCCAAGAGGGAGGCGGCCCTCCCTAATGACCAGCCAATGAGCTTGCGGCGCGTCTTCCTCGGTGGTATTCCTGCTGAGGTTGAGCGGACGTCCAACAGAGCCAACGTCCCTTTTCAGGGCTGCATATGGAACCTGATGGTTAACGCTGTGTAAGTAAAACTGCTTCATTTCGGCTTTAATGCTAAGAACAAAGGAAATCTTCCTTTTTTTACAATTTTATATAAAAATAGTTTGAACAAGTAACAATAATGTTAGCTTTTTATTCTGTTTATATATTTATTTATGGGAGGTTTTGATTGTGCAAAGATTCCTGAAACTAAAAAGAAAAATCTTTAAATCATAATATCAGTATTCAAACAGGAGAGATTATTGTCTTAGTTGTGCACTTTTTTGATTTTACCCACACATTCTTCTAGAAATAACTGTGATTACAGGAAACCAATGATTATTGTGTAAATCAGTGGTCCTTAATTATTTTCTACTATTGAGAACCTGATAATATTTGATTATTTATGTGCACAAACCACCAGCATCCTGCATATAATCACCTGATAATGGTAGAGGAAACACTGCAGTATGGAAAAGATTATTATTTACCTTTTTAATTACTTTATTTTGCTGCATTAAATTCTTAATTTTAATTTTTTTATATTAAATGAAGAAAACAACATTTTTGTACTTCAAGGTACAGGAGGGGTCCCTTTAGGGCCAATGAGTTCTTAAAAAAGCAGACTACTATCGGCATACTCAGAATGCTAATCAAGCCTAAAACTTTTTTCTTTTGTCCTGTAGAGGTCACCCTGGTGAAAAAAAAACTTTTCTATTGTTTATTTTCTTTGTCTTTGATTTTATTTTTTTTTTCACTTATAAGAAGAAAATCATTTTAAAGTGTTTTTATTTTCTTTAAGTGAATAGGACAAAGTCCTATATGTATATTAT